CACAGTTGGTTTTCTTCCTTTCCAGAGTTCATATATGGTGGATGAGGTTCCCTTTCTCAAGGTGACCCTGTTATGAACATAGCAGGCTGTATTCATAGCTTCAGCCCAAAAATACATAGGAAGTCTTTTGGCATGTAACATTGCTCTGGCAGATTCCTGTATGGTCCTGTTTTTTCTTTCCACAACTCCATTTTGCTGAGGAGTTATAGGAGAAGAAAATTCATGACTAATTCCTTCTGAGGAACAGAAATCATCAAACTTGCTGTTTTCAAATTCCTTGCCATGATCACTTCTGATTCTGACAATACACCCTTCCTTTTCTCTTTGAATTCTTTTGCACAATTCTTTAAAAACTTCAAATACATCAGATTTTTCCCTAATGAAATTAATCCAGGTGAATCTGGAAAAATCATCCACAACCACATAGGCATATCTTTTTCCACCAAGACTCTCCACTTGCATTGGTCCCATCAGATCCATATGAAGAAGTTCTAGAACCTTAGAGGTGGTCAGATGTCTTGACTTTGGATGTGACATCCTAGTCTGCTTACCAACCTGACATTCACCACAAACTCTTTCTTCATCAATTTGCAGTCTTGGAATCCCTCTGACTGCCTCCATGGAGATAATCCTTTTCATTCCTCTTAGATGAAGATGGCCAAGTTTTTGGTGCCACAGTTTCACCTCTTTTTATTCTTTTGCAATGGAACACACAGAGGAGAAATTAGTGTTCTCAGGCTCCCACAAGTAACAGTTGTCTTTAGATCTGACTCTTTTCATTACAATTTCTTGTTTGTCATTGATTACAAGGAATTCAGATTTTGAGAAATTTACCTTGAATCCTAGATCACACAATTGACTGATACTAATGAGATTAGCAGTCAGCCCTTTTACCAGCAGTACTTCACTCAGACTTGGAACTTCAGGGCAGTCCAAATTACCAACTCCTTTGATTTCACCTTTAGCACTATCTCCAAAGGTCACATAACTAGTGTTGTGAGGTTTAACATGATTGAGAATGTTCTTTATTCCAGTCATGTGTTTAGAACACCCACTGTCAAAGTACCAGCCTTCCTTTGCAGACACTCTCAGGGAAGTGTGGGCTATCAGGGCAGTAGCCTTTTTCTTCCAGTGAGGAGTATGTGGTACCCTTTTTGACTTAGGTTTAACACCTGAGTTTTGATTAGGGTATCCATGCAATTTGAAGCAGAAGGGTTTTATGTGTCCATACCTCCCACAATGATGACATCTCAATCTTTGGTATTTTTTCTTCATATATTTGTTTCTGATGTTGAGAGTTGTGTTGAGACATCTGCTTTGACAATTGTTTAACAGACCTGATCTTCTTGTCTGCACCAGATTTCTTAGCTTCCACAAATCCTAGTCCAGATTTGTTTCCCACATTTTGTCCAACTTGAAGAATCTCTTCCAATTTATCTGTTCCATTGGTCAGCATCTTGACAGATTTGGTCATTTGGTTCAGTTGTGAGTTCAGCAATTGAACTTTCCCTTCTAGATGACTTATAGTTTCAAGATCTGCCCTTTTTTCAGCCTCCAGCTTTATAATGAGTTTTGATTGTTTCTCATTCTGCACACAGACTTCAGCACTTCTGATACACAATTTCTTGTAGGTATCAGCCAGTTCTTCAAATGTCACTTCTTCATCACTGGTGTCACTTTCAGATGTACAAACACCAGTTAGAGCAGTAACTAGTTTGACAGATTCTTCTTCAGAATTACTTTCTGAATCACAGTCAGACCAAGTAGCAGTCATTCCTTTCTTTTGTTTCTTGAGAAAGGTTGGACATTCAGCTCGAATATGCCCATATCCTTCACAGCCATGGCATTGAATTCCTCTCCCTTGGTTTCCCTTCTCTTCTGACCTTGGTCTTCTGCTGGAACTGTCAATGTCAGAGGGAATGTTATGAACATTAGACCTTGACTTTGGATCTATTCTTTTGATGAGTTTGTTGAACTGTCTTCCAAGCATGGCTATAGCTTCTGAAATATTTTCTTCTTCATCCTCCTTGTTGTCAACATCAGTGTTGGATACAAGTGCTATGCTCTTGTTCTTCTTGTCACCATTTTCAGTGATCCCCATCTCATAAGTCTGAAGAGACCCAATAAGTTCATCCACTTTCAACTTGCTGATGTCCTGGGCTTCTTCTATGGCAGTTACCTTCATTACAAATCTTTTGGGCAAGGATCTGAGAATCTTTCTCACCAATTTTTCTTCTGCCATTTTTTCTCCCAGTGATCCTGAGGTGTTGGCAATCTCCAAGATGTTCATGTGAAACTCATGAATGGTTTCATCTTCCATCATTTTTAGATTTTCAAACTTGGTAGTCAACATCTGAAGCCTTGACATTTTTACTTTGGAAGTGCCCTCATGAGTAGTTTTGAGAGTGTCCCAAACATCCTTGGCCAGTTCATATTGATGTACTAGTCTGAAAATGTTTCTATCAATTCCATTGAACAAGGCATTTAAAGCTTTGGAATTTCCCAGGGCTAACTCATCTTCTTCTTAACTCCAATCTTCCTCGGGCTTCAGACTGATTGTCCCATCTTTCTCAGTTATGGTGGGATGGTTCCATCCTTTGTCAGCAGCTCTCCAAGCCTTTTTGTCCAGAGATTTTAAGAAGGCAATCATACGAGGTTTCCAGTAGTCATAATTAGTTCCATCCAGAATGGGTGGTCTATTTCCAAAAACTCCTTCTTTGTCCATAGTGCCAGAAAGTGATATCCCTAGATCTCACCCAGTAATACAGGCAGGGTGCCTGCTCTGATGCCAATTGAAATTCTGGCTGCAGATACTCAATGTCACGTTCAATGTTGTGACACCGTGTCTGACTTTCTATAAGACAGTAAATACAAAAACAGTAAAGAACTCAGTCAATTGTTTACCCAGTTCAGTGTGCAACAACACCTACTCTGGGGGCTACCAAGCCAGGGAGGAAATCCACTATAAGAGATGTTAATTCAGGAATAAACCAACCAGTTTATCTCCTTCACTTAAGACCTACCCAATGCAATTTCAATCTAAGTACAACTTAAACCTGAGTTCCTACTCACTCCCCCTCAATCACAGCAGTGATACATAAAACAATTTGACTAATGAATTGATGAAGACACTCTTCAAAAACATACACTTGATTAAGCTTCACAGCTTTTTAATCAAGCAACCCAACCACTCTTGCTTCACAGCTTTGAGTGATACACACACCTAACTTGACTCTGCTTCACAGCTTTAGTCAAGAGACATACAAACACTCTTGCTTCAAAACTTTGAGTGCTACACAACCCTTACAATTAAAAACCTATTCCAAGTCACTTATCACAATGATAATTGCTTGGATTACAATAGTTAAAACTATACAGCTTCTAAATGATCTTCTGTCAAAAAGAGATTCCTTTCAAAACAGCAGCTCTGTTGAATATATAGCAGCTGCATCTTCAGTTAGGGTTTCCCCAAAAAGCTAGGGTTAATTCCATTTGACCTTAAGACTAGGTCACAGGACTTTATCAACCAGGATAGGGTTGAGCTAGGTTAACCCAAAGAAAACGCAGGATTCTGTTCTGGAAAGACTGAGTCATTTTCCTGAAAAAACTCAGAATTAACCAAACTGCAAACCTGTTAGTTCAGAACAGGATGTCTTAACATTTGTTATGACATCTGAATTCCTGTTTACTGATTTTGGTAAATGTGATCATTTTGCAAAATGCTCAGATACACACTCATAAACATCAGTACCTGTATGACAATATTTTTCTGCAAAGGTACCTAATAAATCTGTACCTAATAAACTAGAATGTTATGACATCAGTCATGACATTCGTACACCTGATTTTACCAAAAATGCATGCCAATACAAAAACAACTACAATTAGAATTTATTTATTTAAAAAGAATTGGATGTAGTATTAAAATTATTCATTGTTAAACTTTGAGGATCATTTTTATAAATTTTAAATTTTTTTGGCCAAATTTAAAATTTGACAAACAGAGACCAAATTGCAAATTTAAAAAATTTAAAAGATCAATTTATAAAATGTGGATATTATTAAGAACCGAGTTACAATTTAATAAAAAGGATGGATTTGTAAATTTGGAAAATACGAAATCCAACTTGTAAATTTTGAAATAATAATAATATCAAATTTGATATTCACAATCTATGAAGTATGAGAGGAATATTTTAATTTTTTTTATTTTACCTCTTATTTCAAAATTATTAAATTTAAGAACAAATTTTTTTTATAGATTCCCATAGTTTAACAATTTTTTCAATTTTTTATCTAAACAATAAATCATATTCGAATTACTTCAAATAATCTCAACTTACATTAATTTATTAAAATACTTAATCAAAACACGCTATAAAATTTGAATATCGAGATTTCCCTTATAATCATAATTCATGTAAAAAAAAAGACCTAATCCGTTCTTAATAATAGTTTGTGATCCATTCTTAAAGATAGTTTGATTTTTTTTCAAAAGAAATCCCTATTTAGTTTTTATTAAGATTAAATGTAATGATTGTGAATATTACCAAAAAATAAAGCTTTTTTTTGGGATTGGTAAGTCTAAAAGGATGTGGTTTTTAAAATAAAAAACACATAGTGTTTATTATTGAAATATAAAAGTTGGGGGTGTTAAAAGTAACTCTCCAAAAGATATATCAAATTTGGGCATGAATTTGAGTTTTGTTTGGTCCCTCATTGTCCACACTAGCTACTATGACTAGGTTTAGCAAAACATTCAATTAGAGAACTTTTCAATAAATTTCATACAATATAAACTCAAATCTGCTAAAATAGACTATCATATATTTTGACCAAAAAAATCCACTATTTTTCCGATAGTATATTTTGACAAAAAATATACTATCGTTGTGCTACTTTAAAATAAAACAAAAAACTGTGATAATTCAAAAGCTAAATAGCTTGTTATGCAAGAAATTTAACTAATGTACATATCATAAAAGTGCATGGTAAAATGCTTAGATTTCAGTATCAATGATGAGCTCAGCTGCAGCACCCATTGTACCAACTCCACCAGCACCCAACAGAGTAAGAGCAAGCTCCTCTTCATTCAATCGCCTTAATCCTTTGCTCAGTCTCTTTAACACTTGTACATCAATTTCCAGCACCCAGTTTGGTGTACAACTTACCATCAAACTCACAAAACCCGACACATACGCGCGCCATGTAGCTGGATCGCAGCCAAGTGATATCTTACCATCAAGTGCACTTGCAAGAAACTCCATGTGGGTTCCTAAAACTTTCTGGCGTCGCTTTGAAGCTGACGATGATGAATCGACTCCCCAAGCGAATGCACCACAGAGGACTGCAAAGTAAGCAAGTCCGTATCCGCCTAGCATTCCAACCATTCCGTTAGATTTTTCTTCTTGGTCTGATCTGTGATTGGATATAAACCATGACGGTAAAGTTTCGTTTATTAGTAACTGAACCAGCGTCAAACCACCTGATATCCATACTAAGGAAGCACCGAGTGCAGCTGCAAGTTTTACTTTTGTCATTGATCCAGCGAGTGAAACATTTCCGTATTTTGCGCTGTCTTTGGTTGGTTTGAACTTTTTTAGTGGCGGCTGTTTTGGAAGCCCGCCGGAAACTATTTCTCTAACTGACTGCATCAAGATTGAAACAATTTCTTCTGTCAAGAAAACGATGTCTCTGACGGACCGGTAAGCGCGTAAGTAGAGAATTCCTGGAGCAACAGGGCAAATCCTTCCAGATAAATTGGATTTAAATCCATGGCCGAGTAGGGCTCCAACACCACCACTGCTTGAAGTAGAGGAGCTACTCATGCCGAGGGTAGCTGTGAAGCAGCTTTTAACAAGTTGAACTACCGCGTCGCTGTTGTGGAGGAAGACTGTTCTGGATGCCGAGAAGATTAGGAAGTCGCTCCAACGTCTTGCCTTTTGTGTCCACAAGGAAGCAACAATTGGCATGCAAGGCCATGGACAACCTGCAGCCAGGCCCTCCAGTGTTTGGCCAGCCAAATGAAGAAACCGCTCCGATGATTTATCAACTTTGTAGGTTATGGTGAGACTTGTGAAGGCAGCCAACGGCAACGGAAGTGTGGCAGGAGAGCTGTCTCCTGTGGAAATAACGGCCAATGGTCACAATAATAAATCACATTTCCTAAAAAGCAATTGGACTTATTACTCGAATCATGCGTGCAAACGATGAAATATAAATGTAAATTGTGTTGCGTTGCGTTTCCAAAAAACGCGTTGCAAGTCAGGATATAATGAAGTTTTTAGAATTTAGTGTAACAAAAAAACCTGTAGTAAGGCTAGGCACATCAACACCAGTTTCGGCCAAGATTTTCTTTATCTGTTCCTCTACGTTCTGTAGATTTGCAGCAGGACTTGGCCAATCCGTTCCATTCATAAATGCTGGTTTCCAAACTCCTCGAGTTACTTCTGCAGAGAAGTAACTTACTATGGTTGCCAGTGATGCAGGAAGAAAATCAGCTAAATCCTTAAGCCCTGGTATTAAGAAAAGCATTACGATGTTATGATATTGTTATGTACATCAAGAAACATCTACATGAACATCAAGAAAAACATGCATACCTGTCGCCAACTCACGCGGAGATAATCTTCCATGAGCACATGCGGTGAGAGCAGCATCAACTACAAAGGGAATGGCTTCAAGAATATCCCAAGCAGGCAACTTTGGTCCAGTAGAGGCATCGTCATTTCCAGGCCCAGAAGAGCTACTGCTTCCGGATGTAATACTAGCTTGGTTTCCTCTGTTAATCTTTCTGAACATCATGGTAAGAAGTCCCTCAACTATTTGATGAAAAGGGGTTCCATGAACAAGACCAGAGAGTGTTGAAGCTATGCACGCTTGATGCTGTCGATACCAGACTTTTAATTTGGGAAAGGAGTCGACAAATACAGAATTTGGCGACGATAGACTCGCAATTTCCGAGAGTCTCCTCCTGTTACTATTCTTGCGGAGGTTACCAGCTGACAATAAGTGAGAGTTTCGTACTAATAGCAAGTATTCCGGAGTTAATTGAGAACCAACAGTTGGCGCATCGCCAATTCCATGTTCAAGAGGAGGACAGTTAAATTTCCATAACTTTAAAAGAAGAATAAATACATTTGAAAACACAGCATGGGCTGATATTTCTTCCCCAGATGTAAGTTTCCATGAGATGTTAGGCATGCATGATCCAAAAACTTCACAGATTGGCATTAACGAACATGCAAGCTGTGGAACCTGGTTGGAGATTCGGAAATGCATTAATTCACAGTTTGACGAAAAGGGTTAGTTGTATATATGAGAATCGCATTGGAGAGAAAATAGAATTAAACTTACCAAGCCATGGAGCGAAAATACTTGGACACAGTCAATAGGTGCAATTCCAATGAAAAGTGCATTAAGTATTGGAGCATAATTAATCAAATAGTTGTTTCCTTCCGAGTTCTCTGCAGGAACGGGTGGAGATAGTAACCTGAGAATGAAATGAACAGTATGCTCCTGCATAAAATAGAGATGCACAATTTATTAGGTTGTTAAGGTCATTCAGAAGAAGGATATTCTGCTCTACAGTCTGCATTACCGAGCAAGTTTTAGCGTATACATGTTTTACTGTATAACTTCATACCTGTATATTCCAGCCTCGAATTAGGGATGCTCCGCAAAGAATGGTGGCAGCAGATATCTTTTCGTCTTCTGATCCCGCAATTGCAACTTCAAAAATTTTCTCCAGTTCTGCTAAGCTTCCATCAAATCCAGGAGCGTAAATTCAGTTGCTTTAGCTTTTGGTAAATTTACAAAAAAGAGCATCTCACATTCCTGGCTTCAGGAAAGAAAAAGAAACACTGAAGACCAGGCATCAGTATTTTAAAACTAATTTTGAGTCTACCCGTTTTTTATTCACCATTGCTATCGTAAAAATTTAGTTTATGATGAATGTTTTTGGTATTTAGTAAATTATCTCATGTTTCAGTACATTAAATCACAGAGTGATAGATGCATTGACCATGAGATTGAAGTTAATAAAATCTTCAAATCACTCATGCGATAGAGATGGTGTAGAAACCAATGTTGTCCATTGCGGATTGTGGATAATAGCAGTTTGTTCAAATTCCACTACGCTATGGCGTCATTGTACTCAGAAGGTAATACCATAAAAAAGGTCATAGGAGTCTATAGGCCTACGTAGAAGGTAATACCATAATACTAAACAGGAACACCTTTTCCTAAAATCCACACATTTCAAGTATTTGATTGAATTCACAAATACGCATATGAATCAACTGACTGAACAAGCGAAAATTTGATCATACCTTGTGGCAGGACTTGAAACCAGAGCATTCACCATCGCTGAAGTAAGTGGGGCTCCCTTCATAAATGATGACCAGCCAGGTACTTGAGCTGGCATACATTGAGGTATTTGATTGATCTGTCCATTCACATAACCTGGCCATGTGTACGCAGATGTGTCGAGTAGATTTCGTGCAATACAAGCCTCAACTATCAGATGACGCATATTTCCAGCTGAAAAAGAATAAATAATTTAAACTTTTCAAAAATATATGGTAACTTATAAACAAGTAGTTTTAGGTGAAAATTTTACAATTAAAGAGTTCTAGTCACTCGAATGCAATATCACTTACAACAGTCAACTGGCATCTCCGCCATAGCGAGGCAGTCAAAATATGCACTCCCTACAGTGACACCAGAAATAAATAGCATAGCTTTGGCAGCAGCCTGATTTGCGGCAGCAGTAACAGATTGAGGTGGAGTGAGCAAGCTCTGATAATCGCCCAATACCTGGAGACTTGAGACTAAATCATCCCGACATTTTCCTGGAACCCTTTTCTCTTTGCGGAGATCTGTGCGACCATATCCGTTTTCATCAACGGGCGTCTGTTCTTCCTCCTCCTCTTCAACAAGATTGGCAACAACAAGAGGTATGATACACAACAGCATGCATAAGCGGGTATCAAGATGGGGCATCGGGCCCTCAATGGGATCTCTTTCCTATAAACATATTATATGTTAATTTAAAGAAGTAAGCTGAAGTAATTGAGGAACGATATATATCTCAGACAAACTTCGCAAGAAAACACGTTAAGTTGAAAAGGAAGAGTTTTACCCTCTGAACAAGCCGAAGACTTGCAAACCAAAGGCCTAAAAAAGTGTCATACCAAGAGGTGCGATTTATTGCTCGAAGGGTCTTTATCAAACCTAAACAACAATGACAACAAAGCATGCAAATTGCAAGAGCTTAAATTAAAGTTAAAAGGACAAGTTAGCACTTCAGTCAAATTCCCTATGTACTCCACGGTCTTACCACTAATTTCTTCAACGGCACTTGTTGCACTAACTTGATAGCCATCCATTGTATCCTCCAGCACCAGATCAAGTGGAATCCAAAGTGCGGAATGAGTGGCACCATCACCCAACGATGCAAAAGAAGAAAGGTACTCAAAATCCATAACTTTACGGAACTTTTTCTGTGAAGTTGTTTTGCCTTCTTGAGACAATACCAAACAAGTATCTGAAACCAAATGCATAAGCGTATTGGGACTTAGAGTTTTTGATTTTTTCAGTGCTGATGAGTTAGCTCCCAGCAACTGCAGCCGTTGAACAAAACTTAGCCAATGTGCAGGCCTGATAAAAAATGGGAAACCAAAATGAAAAATTGTGAATCATATGCTAAACTGAATAAATAGGAAATTCCAGAATCTTATCAACTTCTACAAATGTGGAGGATAAATATAAATATAACAAATACATACAAATTTAGCCGAGCCAAACAAAGAATCCTCAAAGATATCTTATCCTGCAAAAACCGCCCAATCAACTCAATAGCTACTAGCGTATTAGTATTACGTAATATCTCCTTTTGTTCAGTATGACTATAATCGTTGTGTCCATCCAATTCCATTTCTTGATATATCATTGCCCATTTACACTTTTTATCAGGAGTGAATTCTAGCAATCCTTCATCACCCAACGATGCATCAAGCAACTGCCAGACAATTGAAAAAATAAACTCAACCACCAAATTGCCAGGCTCACTTTGTGATATGCCAAATATTTGCGAGAGATGAAGAACGCCATCTACAGATTTCATAACCCTGTCCAATGCATAACCAAAAGAGTTAATACGAAATTACAAAGTTGATACCAACCAACAGATGAGAGAAAAATCTCATACAAAAAATGGTCGATATACATAAGCACTTACACAATCACCGCTTAAACTAGAAGCACTTAATTAAGTTGTTTATCCAAACAGGTCAAAAATCATAGCCATAACCATCAACAAACAGATTTCAACAATCAATCATAAATGTAGCAAGAACATGACAAAGAGGAATGTAAGCAAGTATTTATTTTCATAAATTACATAAATTGAACCTCACTTTTGATAATCCGGTCTTTCAATCAGAGATTTAAGCTGAAAAGCATGCATTTTGATGAGCTCCAAATACAATCTATAAGCTGCAGGATGAGCATGTCTACAAGGAATAACCCTGCAAAAAAAAAGTTAATAATTAAAAACAAAAAAATAAAAATAAAAACCATGGATGAAATTGAAAATTGAGAAAAGCAAAATTAACCAACCTGACTGAAAGAAGAGCAAGAAGAAACATAGGAGGAACAATATTATGAATCAATGCCATATCAAGAAACTTCCAGAGAATAGGAACATTGTTGTCCCAACAAATGTAAGAAACCAAAAACTCAGCGAGTTGTGAAGAGGGTAAAGATTCTCCAGATGAGTTCAAATTGGAATACATCTCAAGAGCCCAAACAAAAGGATCACTACCCTCACGTTGTGCCTCTTTTGTTATCTCTTCCATTGACTTTCGCATAGAGATATCCATGGCAAGATTGTGTTGTAGAGGATTCAAGTCCTGTTCAGAATCAAAAGAACACGAACAAGAACAAGAACAAGTGTTTGTTTTTGTAACTCTCTCACTCTTATGTGTCTGTCTCTCTGTTACCTATTTGCCCTTGTTTTGTGTGAATCAATGCAGGTTTTCTGTTATGGACTAGAATTTTGGTTTTTAAGTCAAACATTTTGAGGGTAATATAGGATTTTCATTTCTGATATCCGTTTTTTTTTTAATATGAACCCATCCATTTTTCACACAAAAATTCATCATTTACCTAATTTAATAATGTTTTACTAAATTTGTTCAATTTAAAGTTTTGTTAACTAGAAGTCTAGAACACTTTTTAATAATTTTAAATTAAAATATTTTATAAAGAAAATTAACATTTCAATTTTCAATGAATTGATTACACAAACTTTTTTAATATTTGACTTGACTGTTTTAAGTATTTAAAGAGTCTCTAGATGTTTTTAATAAATTACTGTATTATTTTTTTATGTATTACAATAAGCTTTATTTGAATAAAAAATTGTTTAAATATATATATATATTCCTTTTTGAATTAAAAGTAATTATTTTTATTCAATTAGATTTTCTAATTAATACTTTAAATATTTGTAAAACTTTTTTTCTTTTGTATTTATGGTGGTCAAAACTATATTAATACTTGATAAAGTTAGTTCAATAAAAGTATTTTATCTTTTAATAAATTTATTGCATTTTATAAATTTATAATGATTCAATGAATGCAATTGACTGATAATTATATATATTACAAAAATTATTGTTATTATATATTTTGAGTAATATTTAATATTAATTAAAAATATATTTAAAAATAACTATAATTACATTGAAAATTAAAAATGATAATATATTATAATAATTACTTTTTATAAATATGATAAATATTATAAGAACAAGGAATAATATTATTTGTAATCCTCTTTTTATGAAAATGAAGAAGATCAAAATCGTATATTAAAATATACATGAATTATAGTCGTAAAAAAATTTAAAAAACCGTTTTTTTTTTGGTAATTAGAAGGGCCTGAGTAAAAAAAAATTAAAATAAAGATATCAACTTTTTGTAATTAGAAATGTCAAAAAAATCCACAGAAATTAAGAAAAGTCTTTAACATATTAAAAAGTAATGGAAATATTAATCTACCAAAAATAAAATACATGTTATATTGATGTATTTATGCATGAGTGAAATTATTTTTATATATTTATATAGATTTTGGTTGTTTGAATGATAAGGAGAAAAAGACCAAAAATGGCAATTTATTAAATGATAAATTAACTAAAGTATTTTTTGTTATAAAAATCAAAATGTCTCTTTTAATTATTGTAAAGACTAACTAATCCTATTTTAATTATTGTGAAGAAATAAATAAATTGTGTATTCTTTTATGGATTAAAATTTATATTTATTTATTTTTACAAATTTTACATCTTGTAAAATTTTAATTATTGTAAAGACTAAATAAACACTTTTTAATTGCTGTTAAAAAAACAAATTGGTTAATTTTTTTATTGAGAATTTGAGACGCATTTTGAACTAAGTTTTTTTATAATTTAAAAGTTACATTTAATTTTATACAAAATTTGAGTTACATCTTTTAATTTTTCTATATATTAAAACAAATTGGTTTTAATTTTCCGCCTCTGAAAATGAAGCTATGTTAATCTAGAATTAAGTCAAAATATTAGAATATCTTGTCAATAATTATTAATTTTAAAATTTCAAGATGAATTCCTTAATAAATCAATTATTATAAAAATTCACTTATCCCTTGATTTAAATTACTTTTGTAAGAATTAAAATAAATCTTACTTAAAAAATATTGAAAAAGAAGATTTTTGAAAAGAATATTAATGTAACATAAGGTAGATTCTATACTTAGGAATGTTCACATACGGGTTAATTCTATAATCAATTCATAATCATATATAATTCATATCTTATAAATTGTTAACTAAAACAATTATCGTAAACGAATTCTATTTTCTTAAAACGATTATGAATTGGTTATTAATTGATTATATCTATAATGAGTTTTATAATTATCTTCATTTGAATTATTTTTAAATAATTTCTTTTAAAGAAATTTCTTTTTTTTATTTAAAATTTTTTTATTTAATTTTATAAAAAAAAAAGAATTAAATATATTTTTGGTTCTCTTAAATATCACATACTATTTTAAATTTTTTTCAAAGAATTATTCTCTTAAAATTTCAATTTTAACTTTTGATTCCTCCTGCAACTTAGCGAAGGTTTTGGCACGAAAGACAAAAAATTAAAATTAAAATTTTTATAAAAACCATTTTTTCAATAAAAATTTTAGAAGGACTAAAAGATAAATATAAGATATTTAAGAGAACAGAAAATATATTTAATCTTATAAAAAAAATTTTTAAGAAAAAGGTAATTTTTAATTTATTAATAAAAATTTTGAAAGAAGTTTCAAGCAAAAAAAAGATTTTTTGTTTTTTGAAAAACATATTTAATTTAAATTTTTTTATTTAAAAAAAATTTCAAAACAAAAAAAGTGTTTTTTTTTTTTATAAAAAAAGTTATTTTTTAAATCAAATTTTTTATTTTCTATTTTTTCCCGAAAAAATCTTTTTATTTTTATTTTTTGAAACTTTTTTCATAAAGGAACATAACTTATAAAAAGGTTTTCTTTTATAACATATATAAAATATTAATTTAAGATATTTTTTTCAAAAATAAATTAATTTAATTTTTATTTTGAATATAAATGTTCAAATATAAATTTAGATAAAATCATATTAAAAATTAATAAATTAAAAATAATATATTATTAGTGTAAATTAATTTTACATTATCGTTCAATAGAACTGTAACATTCAATGATGTTATATTAATATTTTAATATTAAAAATGTAATTTTTCGAGATATATGATAATTAATTAACAATATAAAAATATTTTATATTATTTATATATACTCTTTTTTTTCAATAATTAATCAATTTTTAATAACAAAATTTAAATAAAATTATGAATAATCTAACTGATTAATTTGAACATTCATACATATACCATCGTGACTAAATGCCTTTTTTTTTTAATATGATCAATATAAACTAATCTAGTAAGTAGAAATTTAAAAAATCTACAATTTTTTAAAAAAAAAAAGTCTTTAACATATTGAAACTAGCGACAACAGTTTATCAATTTTAAAATTAAAAATATGACTTATTAAGATATATATTTGTGATTAATTAATAATATAAAAATATTTTAATAATTCAAATAATTGATTAATTTAGGTACTCATACATATACCATCACAAGTAAATGTCTTTTTTTAATATGATCAATCTAAACTAATCTTGTAAGTAGAAATTCAAAAAAAAAAATATCCACAAAAATCATATATATATAAAAAAGTCCTTAATATATTAAAATTAGCGACGATGGTCTACCAAAAATAAAATACATGTTATAATTATATATTTAGTATGAGTCATATGATTTTATATATATTTATATAGATTTTGATTGTTTTAATGCAAATGACAAATTATTAATAATAAATTAATTAAATTATTTTTTGTTTTAAAGATCAAAATTATCATTTAATTATTGTTAAAACCAAACAATTCTTTTTCAATTATTATTAAGAAATAATCGTGTATTTCTTTTTTATTAAAACTCATTTTGAACTAAGTTTTTTATGAATTAGATGTTATATTTATTTTAGCAACTCTAAATTACATTTTATAATTTTTATAACATATTAAATATATGATAAAATATTTATTTTGATCCCTTAATTATAGTCTTGGTTCATATTGGTCATTTAGTTTTTTTTCATGTCATATTGATATTTTAACTTTCAAATTTATTTTAGTCATTTTTATCTAATTAACGAAAGAAAATTTTTAAAATTAGTCACTAACTCCGTTGCTAATTAAATTTAAAAAAAAAACTAAAATGAAACATTTTAAAAGTTAAATGATCAATATGACACGAAAAAAAACTAAAAAATTAATATAAATTTAAAAGTACAATTAAAGGATCAAAATAGATATTTTACTTAAATATATTTTATTTTAATTTTTCATTTGCCAGAAAATAAAGCTCTATCCATTTAAAATTCGGTCAAAATATTAGTCATATTTGGTTAATAAACATTTTATTTATAATGTAAATCCATTCAAATGAAAAAAATGATTAAAAGCTTTATTTAAATCACTTAAGTTTTAAGAATTAAAATAAATGTTTACTTAAAACATATTAATAAATAACTTTTCTATAATAAATATTTTTGTAACATATAAACAAAAGCGTATATAATACGTCCAATACCACCATGTATAAATGTCTTTTTCAATATGATCAATCTAAACTACTCTACTAAGTAAAAATTAGAATTAAAAAAAAAAAACACAAACTAAAAAAAAAGTCCTTAACATATTAAAAACTAATTGAAATAGTCTTCCAAAAATAAAATACATGTTATATATATATATATATATATATATATATATATATATATATATATATATATATATATATATATATATATATATATATATATATATATATATATATATATATATATATATATATATATATATATATATATATATATATATATATATATATATATATATATATATATATATATAATTCAAATAATTTTTATATGTTTTGTGTGGGTCAAATAGTATAGGTATGTTTGTTTTTCTTAAGACGATAGGTAGACTCAAAGACCTTAGTAGGTATATGTGATACAGTGGGAGAATTGATTTGAGGGTTTTGCGTTTGATCGCAAATGTTGCGGTTAGCAAGAGTCGCCACCGACTTTTCTATTATCCAAAAGGAAAGGTGAAAAAGCACAGGAAAGACCTTTGAGATTATTTCTTGAGTTCGGGGGGTGGATTATGAAAAGGGAAGATATTAGCACCCTTTTCATCTATGATTTTCCATGGCTCTTAGTTATTTGCTA